CATTTCAACTCTCTGACGACTTCATCCCGGTGAGGATTAATCAAAGGCCATAACCCAAAGTGACAAGCTTTTACTGAGACAAGCTCCACCTTGTTGATTGCCATAAGACTCCTCTGAATCGAACGAAATTTGAGTGACGGAAGGTTCAAAGGGGCACATTTTATGCAAATATAAAAACATGTTCTCAAGCTTTGGGAGCACAGGTCCTTGCTCTAATGGCAGTGTCCGACTGCACAGTAATTATCAACAATGCACTCCGCCAACAGAAGTACTGTTTTGTACAAAGAAAACCTATCGCACACGTAACTACAAAGTGACATGTTTATTCTATTATGGAATAAATTAAAGGACAATAAAATTAGGGACAGTTTCAATATAAACCATGCCTTCGGTAGTGTTCTGTTTTGATCAAGCTTTCATGAAATGCTTTCGTGTATTTTGCAATTTTACACAACAGCAACCACTCCAAGAAGCCCGTCTTAACTGGTAATAAATACCTTCGGCGTCGGATATGACAATAGAAGCAATAATCCAGTGCAAGGGCATAAACAAAGCAGTTCGTCAGAATAGGCGCTATTTCAGATTTCAGAATGAATGGAGGCGTAGAAAGTGTCACTGGTCTAGTTAAGATTGATGAAATTCGGCCAGTTTACACTAATTAATTTAAGACGTTGTTTAGGGTGCAACTGCATACAAATTGCGTGAAACTGCTAATCCTTATCAATGGCTAAATATGTAGTGTCCAGTATACAAAAATGGCTGGTAGGCTCCGTGATGTGTTGTCCCGTCAGGAATGGCGTTCGGGGTGATATGAATTGTAATGTATGCACTGATATTACAACTCGCATGTTTACTGAAGAACTGTAAATGTTGCAATTACGTTTTTTTTTCTGGCAAAAGACATTCATGCAGAAACTGCTAGCTGCTTTTTACCACCCAACACAAAGTGAGCACCAAATCTACTTATGCACTTGCTAGAAAAGCGCCTAAAAGTTCCCTTGTGTTTTCGCCTACAGTTGGTCACCTGAGGCAGCCGCTGCTTTTTCCACACAAAATAAACGCACTCATGAGCTGTTGCTATTGCGGTTGATGTTCCAGTCACCTGCCTTAAAAGCTCAAGCTGTTTCATCTCAAACTAATGCTAATTGGCTGCGCATAAGCAACAAATTTTTCCATCCTCTCAGGTACCTGCTCCATGTCCCACGTACCTCTGGCCATCCTCCTTGCTACTTTTCTGACGCTGGTTGTTGTTGAACTCTCCGCTGATGCTCAGAAAGGACAGAATTTAGCAGTTGGTGAGTAGCAACTTGTTCGATCTTGGCTAAGACGCTAGTACAGAGACAGCCTCTTTGAAATGCGTCAATTCTTATGACTACAGAACTGTACAGCTTCCCTAAGTTATCGTCTTTGTTTGATTTCGTGGAACTACACTTTGCGGATTTGTAGCTACAACCCAATTAGAAAATATTTTTGAAAGTGTAAAATGAGAACGGGTTACCTGACACGAATTAAAGCATTCGAAAAAAAAATTAACTGGCGAAATCTCGTAAAGTGAAGCATAGAGATTGTTAAGCCGGTGTTGTCCAAGGCGAAATGCGTCTGTGTAATCTAAATAATTAAAAAAGCTGGGCTCAAATGTACACAACGCTGAGGCGTGCATCGATAGAAGACAGCCTGGTATCATTTCTCCGCGCAAGTCACCTTCATAACTGAAACGGAAATATCATTCATGGCTGTGGTGAATCTATAAATCACAGTGCTTTGAAAGGTATTTTTGTGGGCGAAGACCAGGCACAAGTGTGACTAGAAAATTCTAACATTTATTGGCAGTTCTACGGCAGAGCATCTAAGATATCCGATTAAGATCACAGGATTGATCGTGTGTGCTGACGGTCACCACTGGAAATATTATTTCAAAAAAGTTAGGTCTGAAAGTGTGTAAACTTTGGACATAAAATTTGATCCACCTTTCCCCAGAAGCTAAAATTTTATTACTACTTAAAGATTTTTAATAGAAGAGAAAGCAAACAGCTCTATAGCATCATATGCATTTAGATGCCAAATTAATGCAAAACTTCTCATTCAAATTAAACTCCCAAATATTTCTTACGGATATCTTTCGACATCAGATAATGTCCTAAAATCCACCTGTAACCTAGGAATGGTATAATCATCCCTCAAAGGCAACAGACACATATATATGACCTCCTGTTATTCCGTACCAAAGATAAAAAAAAGAATTGTAAGGTGAGTACTTTGAAAAATGACCCAGGCAGTTGTAGAATGCGAATTCATTGCGTTTATTGGGAGTTCATATGTGGTGTTAAAATACACGTGGCGTCAAAAATGTCACCTGGATTTTAAAAATGGCTCATATTCAAGCCATCCATTTTTTATTAGAGGTAAATTTAAATTTTCGTCGAGTTTTAAAAACAAAATGTTTAGTTAATTTGGAATGCATCGTTCCAAGTTTAGTTACTACTAAATAAATCACAATTAATTAGTGGGATTCCTGTTTGGATAAAAAAGGTGAGCCATAAACCTGAAACTAACATCTGCAAAGTAGCAACGACCGTGTACATTCGAAGGAGATCAATTTGGAATGGATGCTGTAAGGTCTAACCTGCCATCTTTAGTTAGCAAACGTGATAAAAATAGGCTTTTTCGTATCAGTGTAAAGGGTTCTCCGTGAGTACAACCTTTATTAAATTATTTTTCGTGTACCTTGGTTTCCGAATTAATGACTTCCTAACTCTGTGTGATTTTTGATTACATTGTCAGGGTTTAATTTTTGACATCAGTTGAAAAATAATCTATGGTGATTATAATTTTGTGGTGGTGCGGAGACAGCACTCTCTGAGTTTCTGCCTTAGGAATTCGCTTACTCAAACTACGAATCGCATTCACTTGCTTTAAGGCTGCGGTCATCAGCGGCGTCCGTCCACACGCAGCTTAAAACCTCCTACCAGTCTGACTAACCGAGCCATCTTATTTTTGAAGAGCTAAAATGATGTCATCATTTGATGTGGTCAGGATATTTTCCTTTCACAACTACGTACAGAGAGCAAATACAAACCTTTCTCGTCCATGTGGCCATGATTCATGTGTTTATAATGGTTGCGAATTAGTTATATTCTGGCATTAAATGTATGTATTTTCTATGTTTGTGTAAAATTATATCAGTTGTAAAACTTAAAATCGATGTAATTTTTGAATTTTTATGGAAGTAAAGGGTGTCACTTTTATGGTATTTTTACCATCCTCTCAACCTATGGGCCTCAGCAATTTAGTCTATTTCAAATAACTTTGTGAATGGTGCCCTTAGAAACGCTGAATCGAAGAGTGACCCAGAAGTAACCGGGAAATCAATACGTGCTTATTTTGTAGTCTGTTAAATTAGTAAGTACTTGATAGGCAACTGCTGTTAGCGCAGCACTCGGCACGTATTTTAATCGAGTCAAGTTGATTGATTTAATTATAAGAAATTTTCCATAACGCGTTTCCTGTTCGGATAGGAAAAATGGTGGCCCATGCACGACAGAAACAAATACTTAACGATTTACAATTAAAGAATATGTATTCACTGTACAAATGCATTATCAAAGGGCCAACAAGAATAAGTCACGAAACAGACTGCAAGAAAGGTCTGTAAAATATTAAGGAGGCACCATAGCCAGCCGTATTTCCCTTCTCGAATAAACAACTTCATGGGAAGATCTTTCAAGACTGTGAAGAGCAAAGTTACCAATGCTATGAACAATTCACTTGCCGAAGCTGCCAACGTAAATAAGACGAGGTTCACAGCAACTTGGCATCCCTAAATGCTCGATTGCAGAATTCTGCACAATGCCCAATTGAAACAATGACGCCCAGACTTGCTCCCTTTATTGATTACAGTTGGCCATGAGTGTCATTAAAAATCATCTCACGTCTTTTGATAAATCCCTGGACAGGATGTCCTTTTCTTAGATTAACACCTAGTCTACGCTGAAAATCCAAGAACTACCCAGCAACTTGCCTCAAAGACTATGGATTCTTATGCAAAATCCAACGAAGACTTGCGCCCAGAGGTGTGCAAATTTTTTTTGTGAACTACTGAATGCATTGAATAATTAATTTTGAATTAGTAGCAATTATTTCCAGTCATGCCATTGTAATTTTTGTTTCCTACACACTTGATTACTTAATGCTCGAACTGATCATCAAAGAATTGTGACAATTTGACAACTTGCCTTCCTTTGAAACCCCGAATACCATCTACTCTGCATTGCAAACGCCAGCAATTTGAGCTGGTAATGTCAATTGTTGTTTCTCTGTCAGCGAGGGAAATCAGTTGATAAAGTGTGACCCAAGAGGGAAAATCACGAGTGTCAAATGGCATGCTCCGTCTGGCAGTTTGATAAAGCAGGACGATCTAGGTGGCCGATACCACGCAGCTCCATTGTCATCATTTAAGCGCCAATTCTAGGCATGCCAGTTATACCCCGGCACTATTTCACTGGAACACGGCGACGTTTTGGCGACTGGTTGAATGCATTTTCGACCTGGATCAAACCGGATTATCGGTGGTCTTATTTAAATGTGTATTAAACTTTAGATTTTTGGTGCCAAGTTTCTGATTTAGGATTTCGATTTTACTTACAGATACAAAAAACTGGCAAATTCCATCTTGATTTTTAAATCGTAAAGTGTCATTGTGAATTGGCAACTTGACTTAAATTGCTCATCCACTGTTGTGGATTTCAGGTTTACGTTGCACGTTCGTCTATGACTGCACATTTTGTATTAACCCATCTTCCGTGGACATGATTTATCATAGTTTGCATTTTTCCTGAGGACATCATCACTCAAACGGACACCCAATCACATAATTTGTATACTTTTATTTGTCAACCTCTCCGGCCAATCGTGTTGTACCCAATGACAGCCAAGCAGAGCAGGTGCTTGAATTTGGCACAAGAGATTAATTTGCAGTCCTGAGTTGTGCCAATGGAAATAGGATGACGTTTACTTTCACAATTTTCTGCTGCCTGCTAACCTCCCTAACATTGGGCTCCGCAAGTGATGAACACTTGGTCTTTGCAGGTGCTTGCAACAAAGAGGCGCCAAGCTTTTGCGACCGAATTGTCCGCAACTCGGTGTGCAATCGAGCGAAAAACGAATGCTTCTGTCGAAAAGGATTTGTCGCAGTCAAGGAGGGGGACAGTGTCGCCTGCAAAACATGCAAGTTGTTTTTTACATTGTAAAATGCATTCAGCGAATTTGCATGTTTTTTTTAGTAAAATGGACAATGGCTTTGAATTTGGTTTAAATTGTACGATAGTAGTTTGTCTTCATTTGAGTAGTCATCACATCAAACGAACACGAAATGTAACAAACGTGCAATACTTGAGCAAATGATTTCAATTTTAAACAGTTCAAACACGCTTTTGAAAATAAGGAAAAGTGGAATGCCAACATTCGCAATATACAGGGCACATTTTTGAGCTGTTATCACTCAGCCAAAAGATTCAGAAGCTCCTACCCAAGAAAATAAAGTTTTATGTAAAATTTTGCCAGTGGAGCAGAAATGAACACAAAACTGAACAATAATCATCTTGGGTTATGTAGACTGCAGTTGCGCATGTGTCCTACCATCGTTAAGAGAGAATTTGCATTTTTGAAAATTTTAGCACAGAGCTAACCCAAATAACTGCCAATACAAAGCAGAAATTACGAATTGAAGTGTCGGTGATCATTGCAGGAGCAGTTAGATTGGTCGTAAGGGGCTGCTTTCAGGACCACCAAGTGGTAACTGTGTTTCTGCCATTGGATCCAAATGGAGCAAGCTTTAAATTATTCAATCAATTTAGTTAAATAATTTTGCCGTTTGGTCAAGTCATTCTCACCTTTAATTTGGAGGGAATTGGTGCCACTAAGGTAAATATATTTACAATGAAATGATTTAATCAACTAAAACTGCTCAAAGTACAAAATTACAAACTAAAAATAGCCTATTTCAACTATGTTAAACCGTATTCGAAAAAAGTGAAAAAAAAAATGACACCTGTTGCTAGTATAACCTCCACAAGGTTGCTGGACAAAAAGTTTGGAAAACATCATGGATTTGGTTGTACTCGGACATTTTCTTTTTCTCACTAGGAGTCCTTTTTTTGTCTACAATGAGCAAAATACACTGAATATTTGGAACAATGAAAATATAGCCTTCTCCTGCATAATTAAATAATATTTGTCCATAAAAATGGAATTATATTTTGTTTTTTGCTGTTCTATAGTATGCCTTGACTTCCAATTTTTCTACGCTATTACAAAGAAAAATTGGTGTTATTTCATTTTTCGGAGGATGAAACTAGAAACTTAGGTAGTTACGGACACATATGTTGTGATAATGCATGCATATGCGCATTCCCAGAAAGTGAATTTGAAAACAGAAAGTGAGCCCAAGCTTAAGTCAGGTCATGTCACATCGCTTTTAATAAAAAAGTTCGGATTTTGACTCGATATGGTTGTGGGGCTTTTCAGGAAACTGTGTAGCAATTCTTGCCTTACTTCAATCACACAATTCACACATAAAATGCGTAGTTATGTGGAAGTAGCTGATTATTTTTGGCAATGCTTAACCTTAATCTAGTGGGATTAAGTGAGCACTCTTGGCATGAATGTACTTCTGCGGATTTCCAAACATCGCAGCCCAGCGCCTATTTTTTGCCGAGGTGGCAATTGCTAGGGTTCTGTGGGATCCTTTCTTAAAAAAAGGAGACTTCACAATACATTTTACAAATAATGGGCTGAGTCGAAACGCTTAAACGATTGAGTCAGCAATGGTTTCAGTTCTGTTCATTATACTAGGAGTTTTTTTTAGTAATTTGTACCCATCATTTTGCTCATTTATATGTGAATGTTCTTAATAATCGTTTCAGCTCAAAGTGCGGGTGCATTTAAACGATTGGCTCATACCTTTTTAAATGCCACACGATGAGCAACCGCTAGAAGGGTTTACGTGCTGAATGTTTATTTCCTGAAGTGTAAGTTTCTTTCTGTTCCGTCGAACCGTAGTGCTCACGGATCTCAAGTGTCGGGTGGATGCGGACTGCGTTCACGTGAACCGAAGCAGCTGTCACCCCGGCGCGGGTTTCTGCACCTGCCCTGGCAACACCGTATTCGTACCTCAGTTGAACGCCTGCAGTAAGTTTTGACAACCAAATCCCCTCTGTTTGCCTGATGTGGTAGACTGCAAAAAACGGTGAATCATTTAGGCATGTGCTAAACAAACTTAAATGGGTGGTTCTGCATAAACTTCACGGCGTGAGTTAATTCAGTACAACGTGGGGAGGCGCAAGAGAAGTGAGGCTAACTGGCTAGGAGTTCTCTCGGGCGTCGTTTCAAAAACGTTCTCAGGGTGGTAGAGGAAGGGAACTTCTGGCGCCTGACTGGCATGGAGGCACGGGATGGTTTCATCGACCACGACCACGACGACGACGACGACGACGACCACCACCACCACCACCTTTGTTTACCTACAGAGAATTCCATTCACAGACTGGTCAGGCAAGCACGACATCGTGCCGTTGTCAAAAAATTCTGCACTCTTATTGCAAACTTAACTGTCCCTCGCAGTAAATCTGCAGCAATTAATATTTAGACTTGATAAATCTTCGCGGCGGCCTCTTAAACAGAAACCCAGTCGGTCTTTTGCAAACGTGCAATTACTCCTACATAGTCATTGGCTTTCAGTTTCTTGTTTTTGTTGAACAAACGTACTCTGTGTTATGCATTCCTCAAATTCGTGCACTTATTAAACCGCTTACATCAAGGGCCGAATTCTTTGTTTTTTTGTAGGAACGAAGTTGTTTGAAAGGAAGAGTCTCGTGTGTTCCTCCTGTCTAAAGGAAGGCGGGAGTTGTTTTGCTTACGATGCGAACGATAGACAACCCGACTCAGCCTCGTAAGTGTTGCTCACGAAAGTCGCTCTACAGCATTGATAAGATTTTTCTTGTTTCTAGGTAGTCAAATGGTTGCCTTTCTAAACTAATGTCTCTTGCTAATATCCAGAACGTTTGAGCCGTATGGATGTGTTTGTCCCAACTTCCGGACAAGCACGCAATTTCGGCATCCCTCTCGACCTCAGCGAACCTGCGGCGCTCAACTGGGTGAGTCGCTTTTGTGGCCTTCTGTGCGGATAGGATGGGACATCAAAGTTGTATCGAAATGCCTTTTACGAACTACATTCTCATTTATGCTATTTGGTTGCATAATTGGCGGTTTTATCTAACAATCACCTGGGCGTTTTCGCGTTGATTGGGCCAACAACTAAATACGAATCTTTGTTTTTTTTAAACCGCAATAAATTTGCAATTATATAATCAATCGTATTGACCAAGTGGCCACACATGCTGTACCAGCAGGCTTACGTCGAATTTGCAGAAGGGCAGTTTTATGTTAAACGACTAAATGCCTCAAGAAATCAAGATGCAATATTATTATTTCCCCCTCTTTGGAAGTGAGAGTTACCTCTCCAAAATCTCCTTATCGGTTGTTGGCACGCACACAGCAAGTTGACTTGAAGTTGAATCAGCATTCAAAACATGGAGGTCTGTATGATGTCTATTTTAAAACTTCATTTTGGATAATTATTCGTGCAAATGTGTTCCCTTTAATATTAGGACTATTTTGGCGCAATCTTGCGGCAATTGTTATGCTTGCCTGTGTCTGAGATGTTAAGCGTAAGCTGAATTTTTTGGAAACCTTCCTTAAAATATGAGTAGTATTAAGACGAAAGAGATCAATAGTGGTTCCTTACGAGCACCAGCAGTCTAACAACAAACACTGTTTTTAGTCACTTATTGCCTTTAGCCAGTAAAGTGGAATCACCGAACTTATAACTTTGAGGGCATCTCTTAAAGTAGTGGCATGTGATCAAGAAAGTGTCCTTGTTGGGCTCTGGCCGGCTTGGTTAAGCAATACTTCAGACAATACGTTGTTTTCGACCTAACACTCAGTTCGATGCACTGTAGGTTATACTGTCCATGATAAGACAAGCAAACTTTAATGTATTCATTTTTTAAGACAAAAGTCATCTTCACAATGGAATGTGCAGACATTCATGAAAGAGTTTTGCTCGAATGTCGCTTCTTTAAACGCTATCTAAACGCCCAGGTATAAATTAAAAAAACGAATTTGGGGCGAAACATTGACGGCTCTAATGAATGTCTTCTGCAGACCTTATTTATTAATTACTAAAAAGGCAGGCATGGAAAGATATCCTGCCACTCTTTTGATCGTTCCCGGTGTACACTTCACCTGCGCAACCCCAAATTTCAAATCAGTACAAAATTGAATTTGTTTTTTAATTGACACATTTACACAATCCATTAATCTTTTCAGCCTTATTTAGAATGTACTTACTGGGCACATGGCAGTGCAAAAAATAATCATTAGCAAGTGTAATTTCTCGTCAAATCTGATCCTCTCTGTATCAGGACAACTCATGTTGCTTCCGTCACACTGAAGTCGACACAAGGCCATGGCAAAACTTAAATGACTAGATTGCTTATTCATGTGCTTCAGCAATTCCTTGTCGAAGACCTCGGCGCCAAACTACATCTTGCCCACCCAAACAGTGTGCCCCCTTAAAGCAATACTAAAATGCGCAAATTAAAAATGAAGATCATCACTAGCATTGCATTGCGCTATCTTTTCTTAAATTTTAGTTGACATTGGGGAACTGTGTAACAATGAGGACCTACAGTGCCGCTCTCCATTAGCTGTCTGCAACCCATTGGATGAACAAACATGGTCGAGGAAGGGATATCAGAATGGTCCAAGTTATGGAATTTGTAGCTGTTTACCTAACAACATTCCAGTTTTTCAGAAGTTACTCCGATACTTTGAATGCTGTAAGTTACTATGACTTTTTGAGGCACTGCTCGCATTCCCTATAAAGTTATATGTTTGGTATCAAGTGTCTACGTGGCAGGATATTCTTTAATAAATTTCCTTAATTTTCTAGACCCTAAAGCGGGCATCAAAGAGGAAACATGTCAACAATGCATCAAGAATGGAGGAGAGTGTTATTGGCTTACGAATACACGGGCGGAGTGTAAATGTCCCCTAGGCAAATCCAACTCCCAAATTTATGGCAATGTTAACAACGGGGTGTGCACATTTAAACATGGTACGATGTTTGCATTCAAGTCAATTAATTTAGATATTTGTCGAAGTTGGTTCTCTTAAACTTGTGGAAACTGAGGACCCTTAGCGATGCTGACATCTTTTAATGCCAAAGCTCTATCTTCTTAACAGGTATAATGGGTGGTTCTTGAGGTTGGCGGGACTCTTGGAGTCCAACGGTCCAAATGGTCTTGGGACGTCCAAGAAGCAATCGTTTACCTGTAAGGTTGGTAGATTAAAATACGAGAGAATTCCTGAGCATAACACAGGGTAAAATAACCTTGTCAAATACCCATCTGTTTGCGTAGTAGATTGCAAAAGGGTTAATCACTTAGTTGCACTTGAAGCACTGCTCAACGCTCTGATACTCGATTTGCCTGTACATTGAAGCACACTGCAACTTTTATGGAGAAAAGAAGGCTGCCAGAGGGCCTGGACTGTAGAGTAGCCTGACCAAAAGCGTAAATCATTTGAAGATCTAGCTATAAACCACATCCAGTGGTACACGATGGGTCCATTCCTCTATGATTCCGCCTGACATAAAATTTTTGTTCACCATGCGTTTTAAGTAACTGACCTCTGTTAATGCAGTTCAAACAATTTGCGAAAACGGCCTCCTGTTGATTTGCTACGTGCCTCACTGGGAGGCCCCCTACGAGGATCTGGCAAGCCACCTGGGCAGTGGCGCGGCGGAAGCGCGTCTGACGGCAGCCTCCCTGGGCTCCGCCGACTCGGCGTGTCGTCTGAGGCGGGCCACCGACGTCACCAGTTCGCTCACTGATCTGTGGCGCGCCATGCTCACCAAGCTCTCATCGCACAGCCCGAGGGCGGGAAACGCCACGCGCGTTGGTCCCTACTGCACCCAGTTGGACATTGCTCACGATCTTCCTCTTCACTGTGGCATTCGGATCTACAGCGTGGCGGTAAAACTTTACATTTTAACATCCAGGGAAATTCTCAAAGTCCAAAGTGAGGCTATCAAAAACAAATATGTTACGCAGGCTCTCGGATTCTTTGCGCAAACCTTGTCAAAGACTATGCTTGAAAAGTTAGCTGATGTTACCCGCTTGTGTGGTAGAGGCCTCCCATGACAACATGACCAGAATAAGCATTACACTAATCTGATATCAACTAGAATGAGCTAGTGGTTCTGTTGTTTCTTTATTAATAGTTTGTTAGACTGTTTTGATTTTTAATGATTTTTGGTAAATGAGCTTCTAACTCGTTATAAAAAGTGCTGTTAGCATTACAAGTCATTGTAAAGGAGTTGCCGAAAGTCCAATAAAGAAAATATCTTATTATGCAGTCTAATGTTTTAAAAACTTAGCTTGTAGAAATAGTCTTCAAAAAAATTTTAATCAATTTCGTAAGCCATGAGCTAAAAAAGGAAAAGTTATATTTCGTACGAGTTTGCAAGTAACAAGTCAACCCCTGCTTTTAAAAACACCTAAATTTAGAATTTGCTGGGTCAGCTTCAAGACATTGTGCCCTGGCTGCAATGTTTAATTTACTGGTTGCATACTTTTATATGAAGCATGTTCAGATTGCTTTAGGCACTAAATTATCTTCTGATACGAATAAAAAAATATAGCACGTTATCACCTTAAGCCAGTCTGGATTATTAAATTCTTTAAGCAGACCCGAATTCGCCTCAAGGTATTAACGATAGGGGATAAACAGAATGCAGGCGACTGGCGGAGAAAAACGAAAATCGGTTTCGGTTTTTTTGTCATGTGGTGGCGCTATACGTGAAAAGAGTTGCTTAGTGGAGAAAAATGATCAGTGTCATGAAACCTTTGAGTTGGTGGATAAGTCAACATTATTTATTTAGTTAAACTGAACAGCTGTCATCCTGAATGCTTGATTGATGGTATACAAGGAGGTCTTACATGTTTAATGAAGATGGCAAGAGCCCATTTGATGCTCAATGGTGTATGTTTCGACTATCTCGTTATTGTCGAGAGACTTGCCAATGTGAATCTGAAATGCATTTACCTAGGGCCCAGATGAAACGTAAGGAAAGGCTTGAAGATTTAGCACAAAAGTGTTGACAAACTACCAATGTCAATCATTTGGATGACGGTACTAGCAAATACGTTGACAGATTTGGCTATTGCCTGTCATTCATTTACATGAGTTTGTTCCTTACAATGACCTGAAAAATAGTCACTTCTTGAAGCTGTAATATTCTCTCAATGCCGTAGGATTTGATCCGACATCTCAAAACGCTCCTGATTCATTAAAAGTCTTAAAACGCGACTAGTGTACATTTGGAATGCGTTAAATCGATAGCGCCCAAAGGACAACTGTACCTGTCAAAATATGACGAGCAAATTCGATGTACCTAATCATCGTTTGCGCAAATTCAAATTTTTTTAGATAGCGAATAGGTTCAATTCAACGGAACTCAGGAATACAAGCTTAAGAACAGAAACAATGATGGAAAATATAACCTTCCCAAGAAGTATATACTTACAGGATCCTCAAATCATTTGACGAACTAGATAGTGTAGATTCTAAAAGCAAAATTGCAGACCTTCATCAAAAACAAATTATCTAACAGATTTCTATCTTCGAATAATGGAAGCCAACATGAAAAATTGGACGCTTGCGCGTCTACGTAACGAATGTTGATAAAGAGCGCCAGGTTAACCTAGTGACGGGGAATGGTCATCTCGCCCATACCTGAGCGTCACCCCGATGTGCACCAGGCAAACTCCAAGTGCTAATCCAGCTCTTTTACTGGACTCTTCTATTTCGAGTTATCCTAATCAGAGTTGGTAGCCTCCGGTTTACCTTCTTGCTGGCGTCATTAAAAAGTCAAAACGTTCTAGTTTGTAATCTTTATAATTAGTTTAAAAAAGCACAAAATGCGCAGATGCTATCTGCCACCAGTTCAACACGCATCTGTGAAAGGTTTTGGCCCACACTCACCTACTCCAGTAATCATCAACCTGCACAATATAACCTTAAAATGGGAACCACAAAGGACAAGTCAAGCAACTGGAAGGAATAATTGACCTCAAAAAACAACAACAACAACATTAAACCAATTTTAGCAAATATTTTTCTAGGGGGACATGATGAAATATCAAGGAGCAATTGAAGTTGAAATGGAAAATTCGCCATTTAACCGCAACAGGGATTTGCGCCTTCCCTTCACTTGTATTGACCACAAACTCTCAAAGGCGCGCCAGAATGTGATTTCGTAAGTACTAAGGCCTTCCTGCTTTGACAGACTTGCCCTCAAGTTGTCGGTTTCTGATGCTCGAATTGGTAGTAATTTCTGTGGAAGGATGTTGGATTCATGAAGCACTTGAAGTGATTTTTGCTCAAATATTTAGCTACGTAAGGCATGTTTTTGGCTGTTTGACAGAAATCCAAGAAATTCTTAAAAGGCGCCACCAAAAGGGTACAGATGGACGTTGCCGATTCTGAATTGTCACACCTTAAATAACAAATTCAGATTTTGCTAGTAAATCCCATATAGAATGTCCTCTGTGTTGCGCTTTTATGTTGTGCATTTAGCTCAAGATTTACGTTGCTCTGTGTGGCTATAATGAGGCAAAAGTGAATTTTGCTGTTTTTAGTAGAAAGTTAGATGAATTATGCCTGATTTATCTAAGCGCCTTACTTTTATTCATTAAAAAATAGATATGTTCCATTCTCGGACGATTATCAAGAGCCACCACCAAATATAGGCCTTCGAGTTGTCATGAGCTGACTGGAATCCCCTACTGTTCGACATGTAGAATTTATTTGTTTAATACCGGTAACGGAGACAGGATGTATTTTTTTTATATATTCAGACAATTCAAGCACCTGAATGCAAATGTTAGTATGGTGATTGTGAACAAAAATCTGCAGGATGTAGATCAGGTGAATGAGGAAGAGAACATTTCACTGAGATTCAGCCTCATCTCTGCGTCAACTGGTGGTAAGAACTCAACAAAAAGAGTTTTGTTTTGACTAACAATTGTGCTAGTTCTCAGTCCATCCACTTGAGATCATGAATTTCATTTAAAACAATTTCGCTAACTGCAAGCAAATTATCAGGTTTGTGATCTTTCAAAAGCATTTATCTTTGAGTCTTTGCGTGTCACACAAAAGACCTAAGTATAGTCCAGAAGGAAACGTATTCCTCCCGTCGTCGGCTCATTTAGGGAGAGTCTGCATCAATTTTTTAGATGTAATCTTGAAACAAGAAACTTTGCCTCATATTCATGAACACTTACCCATCCAGAATGCTTTCACCAAGTTATTTCACGCTACTGTACTATTGTTTTATTTTTGCTTTGATTTATTTTTTAATGGAAAAACCCAAATGCCATTGAGTATGGTTGAAAATTTATGTCAACATTCTTTTCCCTTTAAAATTAGCGGCTAGAAGTAGTCGTGTATAAAAGAATCATCAAAAATTATGAAAGGCCAGCACACAATATCTTGGAGAAATAATTGCAACTTTTCTGCGTAATTTAAAGACAACCATTGTAGAATGTAAGGTAAAAGACTTATTTAAAAATTGTTTTGTAATCCATTCCTTGATCTTGTGTTTGGTTTATTAAGTCAAAATCACAATCTGCAGTTCCGGTTGCTTCCACAGTGGACTCTGCTAGTAATATATCCGATTCTTGAACAAAATTACATTCACAAGGATTAGTTATTGTATATTTTATTCAAAATTGGTCCACGCCCGAAAATACTCAACACTTTTATAGCATACGCTAAATCGTTACAAATAAAAACTCAGAATGTGACTTGTTTTGTAAGGCCTAAAAGCAATATCAAAATAAACACCACAAGCGCTTGCTTAGTAGCATTTTAAAACGCGCAGGAGAATCCTCATAAACGAGGCGTTGGTCAGGCGCCAAGGAATTTAGGCTAACTATTGCTGATTGGTTGTTGTCTTTTATTTTCGCATACATGCATACTTTATTTGATTCCGTTTATCTGCTTCGGTCGTTGTTGAAAGCAATTGAAGTTCACAGATGCATAATAAACTCTTCGAATACGGAGAAGAAGACGTCACGCACGTTTCTATCAAATCTTTCAACATTTTTAGTATTGAGCCGATAAGCATCATGTTATCGACGAAAATGAAATAAAGGCCAATTTGAGTTGCCCTCTCAAGCTCAACGTCAGATAATCTACGTGCTTTTGACAGCTGAGCACTTTGTATTTCATTATTAGCATAACGGTTCGAGAAAGTGTAGGTACACACCGATCGATTTCATTCACACACTTGCCAACCCTGTACCATAATAACTCAGCTTAAACTAGATTTATCTAGAAAAGATAAACGTTACCCAATGTTAGCCTTTAACGTTTTTTTATTTTGGGTCCAGTCACCAATTGGGCATCGTTTTGTCCTAAGATCAACGTCAACATTAGACAAGCTCTTTTTCTTGAGTAACTCATATTTCATTGTAGCACAGGGGTCTATCGCCGTCGAAAGCTGCTTTGCCTCAGTCAGCGGCTCACAATTTTCACCCCCTTCGATCTACTCGGGCTTCCCCATCTACGCAGCGGGGTAGGTACCAGCCTTGACGAAAGCCATTCCCAACTCTTAAACGAAATCCGTCAACGTTGATTAAAATGAGTGCATTCACTGTGATTAGCGTTCGGGCTAAAGGTCAAATGATGATAAAATCTCCCCGCTTTGAACCAACTTTCTTTATGAGGCATCCCCATGCTGCTTTAGATTACAGTCGTTTAATCGTTAAAGGAAAACAAGCAGAAACAGTTTAACTCGCCACGGTTTTTTAATTTAGCAAAGAATACGATTCGAGCTATGTGTCGTGCTGCCTCCAAAATACATTCTGAATTTTCGAAATCGAGTGAAAGATAATTTGCGAGGAAGAGTAAAGAGTGCACTCTAAAAACACGTTGGTCATTTCGTATGCTAATAATGTGCATGATAAAACAAATTTTCTTAGAAGAACAAGTTGTTGTAAATATTTGAATGGGGGTGAGTTGTTGCATTAACGCAAATCACCACCGTCCTTAGGTCTATGCCCTCATTTTTACCTTCCTTTATTTTCCCCTCCTTTCACACGGGAGCTCACATCGAAAGACACCAGAAGAATCGCACAAATAGTGATTACATAATTTGTAAATGCAGTCTGTGTCTGTGCCTTGGAAGTATTTGACGTACCGAAATGGGCCTTTTCAGTGACCGAAGCCGATCCTTAACTAACGTTTGTTTTCTTTCAAATAAAGTCACCACAATAAATACCAAAACATATGAAAAAATAATCCGGATACTTACAATAATTTACATGACTTTGTTCAACTAAGGTATCGCACAATTCTACGTTTATTTAGATCAAGAAAAATTAACTGGGATATCCAAGTATAAATCCTACTTTAATGTCGATTTTGCTTGTCAATGTGCTGAGATTTAGGCCTTAATTAAACGGTTGGCAGGTTAGTGGTTATTCTGACACAGATCGGAAAAAAGTGCAACTGGGCAGCAATCAGTAACCTTAAAGAAAGTCTAACTGATGGAAATACAAACCGATAAAATGGAGGCTATTGCAAACGCCCTGGTTTTTGAATGAAATCTTGTCCATGGCCCCGCATCTTCAATCCTCCTTTTTACCCTGCACATTTAATAACAAGCTTAGCAAAGGACTTTGAAGACCAACACTCCAAAATATGCTAACCAGCAATTCTTCAAAAGACGTTAAGCCAAATTCCAGAACAAAATAGCTTTCATCATCCAGTATTAATATCATTTATTTCAGGAAGAATTGTCTATATGTTTGAGGCAAAATTTCACGCTATTTATTGACACTGTAGATGCACAGCAAATAACAAGGCCTATCGGATTCATTTTGACGAATCACAGCTCTCAGGGCGAAGTCTTCAGTCGACCTTCTTTCAAGTGTTTCGCATTGAGTACTTCAGCTCACTCTTCATTCGGTGTTTTGTCAAATTTTGTCCCCAATCTCTCACGTGTCGTGTGGTAAGCAAGCTGTTTTTTTTTGAAAAAGCTAGCTGCATTGTAATTAGAGTCAGCGATTTGGACCAAAGTGCCCCTTTACTGGAATGCAGCGTGCTGGTATGAAAGGACGAAGGTGCTAGCTTCAAAGCTAAAAAGACATTAGTTGCATGTTCAATGGTCTGGTCTCCAGTGATTGAGATCGTACAAGATGCCTTAAGTTAGAGGAATGATTTAAAACATGACTTACCATTCAAAACTTATACTGCAAATTTGACTTTGAAAGTGTAACATTGGTTAGCATGACACGACCTCGTGTGCAGCTAGTTCAATTCAATTTTAAATTGATGCAAATTAATTGTCACCAAACTAATGATGCTAGCGGCGTGGTAGGCAAATTGCGACCCAAATACAGATGTACAAAAAACTTGGTGACGTCTGCACAGGAGTGAATGAGTAGACAATCCCTCGTGATTGGTGAACACACTGTAAAAAGGGGCCATGTGGCGAAACTGCGACGAACGGCTTAATGGACGTAGATCAACACAATTCACTGCAGACTTAAGTAATGAGCTATTCTGGATAAATACGACTCAACCTGCTTAGCTTAACTCGAAAAAATTTATGTATATAAAGAGTCGCTAGTAGCTCTCGAAGCCCATCGCTTCTCAAAAAGTGCATACCCGCAGGTAACACCGTCACCACCGTAACAACTTCATTTCACTGTTTAACCCTCATGAAAATCTCCCGTCATTCTCACAACAATTCCTTGAATTTTGCAACACAACCTTGACCAGCCATGGTTAGCTTTTGGCATTTGGACGTTCGCCATGACACCAGAGAATACCGGAGGGGACGTTCACTAACGTATGCCAAAGTAAGTCACGCATAAAACCACCTACCTTAGGTTGAACGGCAGCAGGCGCTAAGCTGGCGTGAAGACCAGTGCAGCTTACTTCTGTACGAAAACTTATCAAGGCAGAGACAGGGCAGTAGAAGCATTTTGTACACCACACAGTACCAACATTAGGATAACTGTCGGAAATATTTCTTTTTTCGTCCACACTAATTTGAAGACGCCAGGTTGAAGCCTGATTCAACTTTGCTTGGTGCTCCAGGTTTTGCGTATTTACTTGTTTTCGGTATGACACTTGCGATTAAAAAAGTAGGTTCACTGACTATGAATGGTGACTTTGATAATCTCAGTGTCAAGAACAAGATATTTAGCTAATAAAATGAACCAGGAGAAACCCATCTTGTATGTCCTTGTATTTCCCTTATTTGTGACTAGTAAAACCTGCCACCTACAATTTAGCGGCAATTTTTGATATCATTATAGAGTTTGAGGGTATTTTTTACAATAGAGCATAAATTACATTATCAAATCAAGCAACCTGCTTGGAATGTTTGAACTGAAGCATCAAAATGCTGAAATTGCTGTGGGTTCATGCAGTGATTAGATCCTGGAGCTACAATTCCTGGATGCCGTTTCTATGAGATTTCCGTTTACAAAGCCTAATAACCGCAGAAATAAAAAAATAACTTGGTTCGTTGCCTTTACCACCGTATTTAACTAAAGGGCTTACTCATTAGTACTTTTAAAACCAGCTATAAATTTACTTCTAAAATTCATTTGTGGAAAATTTACAACTTTTCTACTGATTATTAAAATTTCTACTATATTCTGAGACTGAACATTTTTTTCACTCGGGTTTTACACTAATGATAAGTTAATGTGATGGTGGCAAAGCCCTCTACTATCCAAATATTGCCCCAGGCATGCTAAAATTGTGGTTATTATTTGTGTGCCAAGTAGTAGTAAATCTGACTTGTCTAAATGTGCCAAAAAATAATTAAGTGACCTTAACTTCCAGACCCAACAAAAATTTAGTCCCCTCATGACTTGTTCATAAAGTTATCTGGATTAAGTAAAGCTCAGATTCTGCCTTTGCAGTCCATAGTCTGTGAAATTAGGAGTTATGTTAGATTTTTAGCTTAAATTCCTTTTGAAATAAAACATTTTAAGGTGTTAGTAAGTCTTTAATTCCGGTTGTGAATGCACATGGAAAGCCAATACCGGTGTTCCATCTTCTAAGAAAAAGATGGAACACCTTTTGGCATGCACTTAGCAGAGAGGAGGGCGACTAGTTGTGTGCAACCCGCTAAGAGGCGCCTAAACCATCCGCGGAGCGGCGGAAGCGACCGCTATCGTTTTGACAAGACGACGCACCTAGAAAGGGGCTTGCCCTAAGCGCCTTGCCTTGCTAAAAGGGAAGCTAAAACAACATTTTAAAGACTAGATGGCATCAAGGTGAATTTGGCTATTAACATATATTTTCATCCTTTCATTCGAGGTCACAGATATCTGTGTGTATCTTTAAAATAAAACGATTCCACATCTGCAAACGATGCAAAGAATAAATTAAGCGCAGTAGTCAGTAGTGTGGTCTCTAAGATTTAAATTTTTAACTAAAGACCTCTCCTTGATAAGTCATGTAAGCATACACTTTTTAAATTGGTCAGATTTCTTGCATACCGAATGAAATAGGTCTCTGCTTTAAGCTGACATCTGGTTTCTAATTTTTGAGGCATCTAGTGAAAAGTTATCAAAACCGAAATATCAAGAATGGTTAACATGTTCCGATCTCCGCCTCGACATGCCTCTGACGTGGACCAGCTTTCAAAAGGGGCCCAATGTTGTTTTTTTGCATTTAAAGCAACCTTAGCTTCCTAGCCACAGATGCACACTAACGCGATCCTTTCTCTACAAGCTCGGACTCATGCTCGCCAAAAAACCCAAATTACCCCTAAAACATCACTTGTTCCATTGTAAAGGACTGAATAGACTCTCGCATACACTTCAAACGTACTGGCGATTACAGAGAAGGCCGACATTTCTGCAGGGTGATCTTGACAAATTTCTCACATTTCAGGAAAGCTTAGACTGCTCCGATCCAGCGCAGGCGTACACGGGAAAAAAGAGACCGGGGGGGAACCATCGTCTTTTTGACCGATGGGTCCATCTCAACATCGTGCCAGCCCAAAAGGGTTAGTAATACATTTATTGATTAAAGCTCTTTACACGTGATCTCAAGGAATCCACGTGTATTTAAATAGATCTTAAATACACCGAATTGCTGAAATGGCGAATCGCCCACCATAGGAGAATCGGTTAAGTCGAACGCTTACAGAGCACTGATCTTCAAACAAGTAATTTGGTTTGATTGCTGGATCACAATTGCCTGGAGGAAGTGGGTTTTATACATTATTTGAGGCGGACCCCAAAGGTTTCCCCCAATGAAGTTAAAATGTGCATATAATTTCATTCACTATTGATAGCAACAGAAGTCTCGGCTGCTCTAATCACCGGCAACATCTAGGATTAAACCTTCCTCCTCTAAGAACCTTCTTGATTTAAAGGCGAAAATGAGAATAACAGCTTATTAGGCGGTTAGAGAGTATGTAGCCTGCTGAACTTTACAACTAACAGGCATTCCTGAATTTCTTTTCAAGAATCACTTGTGACGGGGAGCGTAGACGGTACCACCAATGCCAATCGGCGCCTCAGCAATGACCCAGAGCCCTGCAGGTACGCAGTCTGTCTCACGCAGCCCCAGCTCATTTCCGCCTCCGTCGTCACAGCACTAATTGTAATCGTGGTGCTTTTGATCGCTCTTGTTGCCCTAAGGAGACACAGCCGATACCACCAGGCTGAACCTGAGGCATCAAATAAGGTCAGCTGGCATTATCTATTATCCAAGTGCCAATGACAGATCATTAACTGAATTGAAGTCATGCTACTGGACATCCCGCCACAAAAGAACATTCATAGACTCAGTCATTGATTTTTGGGCAAAAATTCTAATTACCAATTTTTAAAACCTGCTCAATATTAATCACTTGACGGAGACACGTTGTGTTTTAAGCACTTTCTACAGTGGTTTGTCAACAAGTGCCTACAGTTCATTAACTTTGACGGATGACACCCTCCAGATACTAAATTGACCACTAGTAGGAATTCAAAGACCACTTAGCCACGAACCCTCCTGCGTGGGTTCGAGGCACAAATTTATTAATCATAACTTGAAATGGCTCAGGGAATTAATAACAGCTCCAAACGAATGCACTGGCGCAACGAAGTCACACCTGTGTTTCGTGCTTGCATACCGCAAATTCTGTCAGTCAGCTGTTGGGTTCCCTTTAGTTTGGTGTAGGAAGCATTGCATGGATTCACCAGTGGGTTGTGATGGCAACAACGTGCCTCCGATTCAGGCAAATAATTTGTGAAAAATTTCCCACACTAATAACAAATGTTGAGAATTGCGAAATGGCATTTAAGGAAAAAAGTCACTTTAATTTAGTTAAATTAGAAAATCGCCAGCTGCGACAAATCCGGTTACATATCCTCTTCCAAGCTTTCTTAAATGAGCCGAAATCCTGATATCGCAAATTTTGAACACCTCAGCTGGTGCCGGCTGGCGTCAGTCGTATGCTGCAGCTTTGATGTTATCCACGTCTGTAACGACGAATCAGTCGTGCATAAAAATATCTACCTTTTTTGAAAGTTTATTAACTGCTTACGACGACACTTGTTGATATGCATTAATACAAGCCCACCATAGTTACAGTTGATTAGTTTTATAAAAGTTTCCTATGGGTCACAGTTTAGTACACCGAATTTCGGTTGATGTTTCAAGTTTTGACAACAAAGCGGAACTAGCGTGCATTCATTTCGATTGCAGCATACTTCTGGTAAAACTTTCTGTCTCCATAAACTTAATGTGCTACTTTTAACTTTTCTTTCAAGATGACTGCCATGAAATAGACATTTGCTTGAAGCAGCCACACAAAAAGTTTTGGATAAGCTAATTACCTGCTCGATTGCATTTTATCTCAGCCTAGTTGTTCTGCTTACGAGTACGTTAACTGGTCAACACCCGTATACAGCCGAGATTGGGAAAATCCGGCGTCGATTTTCCAGCCTCTGGTTCTTTCCGATTCTGCAGTTCAGCGAAATCCCGTCTCATCCACTGCTTCCGCTATCTGTTCAAAGGGCAAACTACCAATTAATTCCTTTGTTCGAAATCCAAATAACGTCATCAGCCTCTTTCACCCACCATCCACAGAAGCGGAGACCAAGTGCCGGAGTTTTTCTGAGATTCAACGTAGTCTGGCCACCGAGCCCCTTGCTGGGTCCGATTGCAGACATTCTATGGTCAAAAAACTTGGCAAAGACATCTTCACGAATGCTGTTGAGCCGTTTGAGTTGCAGCCCGTTGAAGTGTACGAGACGGAGGGTCAGGGCTCAGTTGGCCTCTACGCCCCCTTTCTGTGCATTCGTGAGACAAATGCCATAAAAAATGACACAACCGACTCGGCCTGTCAATTGTTGGCTAGTAACAACCGGAGGGAGGAGGGCCTTACAACAACGACGCCCCTGATTCACCGCAAGTCACGGTCTGGGAGCTCTCCGGCGGCGTCGGCACAGTCAGCCACCCTTCAGCGAATGCCAACTAAGCAGAACATCGGCATGTCCAAAATGAGCTCAAACCTCGAGACTTTCCCTTCTATGAAATTTCTGACTGACTCCGAGCAAGCGGCTAACAATCGAAACACTCCACTTTCACCATGCACTGTTTTAGCAGATGAAAACAATGTATAAGGTTTCCACTACTTGCTAGATTATATAAATACATGTTAAAAAGCCTCAGATTTCCTTAATCTTTATGCTAATAACTGAAACAACATTTGCAACCTACTCCATAACTCGTGCCAAAACAGGTAATCACAGATAGCGGACAAATTTTGGCAAAGGTTTCATTAAACAGAAATTTATATTCTTTTTCCATGTACGAAAGCAAGCAACTCTCTGATCAGCTCAATTAGCTAATATCGAGGAGCCCTTCTGTCGGTTTTCCTTATTCAGCCAGCAACATCTAAGCGATGCCTCACGTGATGTTTGGGCAGAACGACGACATCTGCACTCGCGAGTAATGTAGCCATGTGCACAGGCTGGAGTTCCGCATTATAAACGGTTTAATGAGGTGTTCGACGTAGTGCTACAACAGCAGAATCAGTGCTCTTTTGAGAGACGTATTCATAAAAAGCAAACGCGTATTAATGTTTAACCTGCCTATTCACACACACACACAAACGCCCACACTCTCGTCCATGTTATTTAAGCTTCTGCAATTGCTTGCGTGGCAGTAGCGTTGTTTCGCTGACAGGCAGAACTAATTGGTGACTGTTTGATTTCAGTCACCAATAGTCTGCTTCTTCTTCTATTTGGCAGCACTGAAATGCTTGTGGTGTTGATGAAGTGGGCAAGAAACTGAGCCTTTAGGGTCCAAGTCGAATATTCTCACTAGCGGTGGAAGCAAAACTAAAATTGTTGGACAAATGCCCTTTAAATGGGTGACTTGTTGAGTCATGGTTATGGAAAGTATTTTGGTAAAAAGTACCGTAGTTCAAAAAGACGATTGTGTAAAGAAACGGCTTACCTGTTAATCTATGTTACTGAACTAATAAAGGATATTCATTTATTGCAATTATCATTTTTTAGAATAATAAGTAAAATGAACAAAATAATGAGAGATATTGAAAAAAAAAGGATAATTGGCACAGCCTGGTGTTGGTTACGTTTGGCTTAAATTATCTCGCTGCAAGTTGTTTAACCGAAGGCTCTGTATTAGGTTTTCTGTATTCGGAAGCATCATGTATGTATACATTTAGAGCGTCGCTTATGCAACTAAATACGCAATACCCCCGGTTTCGAAATCGGTGGAAGCGCATTTCGATAACCGCGGAATGACTGTTATTACTTCTAGGTTCTTCGAGGTTGTAAATTGTGTCCCGTCGGTCCCTTAGATTTGTAATCCTTATGTACAAGTGACTTCAAGAAGCCTAAACAGACAATGACTGGTCTTTATAAAGGGTAGTGAAGGCGCTTTAATATAAGACAATAAATCAGGCACTAAAGATTTGCTTTATTTGTCGAAGAAACTACGTGTAATTTTTAACACTGCAATAAACCAGAACACACTTATTGCTTCCTGAATGTCAACTGAGGCACAGAGAAATTGTCTCACAAAATCTTTCGGGAACACGATAAGTCTATATTTGTTTCTACAGGTGGCTGTAGAAACCGATGCACGTCTGCAGATGTGTTGTAAAAACCCACCTTAAATTTAGGACAGCAGATCTAGTTTCATAAAGTGGAATAGTAAAAAGAATGAGTTAATGCACAAAATGCATGTTGTGTAATAACAAAGTAATGATTGCTTTTGCTTATGACACCTGCAACTCGCGGATAAGATATTGAGTGGAAACAATACTTTTGTGACTATTATCAACAATAGGGTGGTATTTGTGATACGCCCTACATTTCTATTCTTTAGAACTAATATTACTCGAATCTTTACATTGTCGTTAGCGATCACAACTCAAAATTTTCTGCTAAAGATATACAGTCATATTTGTGTCAGTATCCTAATGTACGTAAACCCTTTTAGTGAGCAGCAGAAATGCAACACAGTTGTGACAACTTCTGCTTCAAGTGCCAACAAGGGTGGTATTAGCGTCGTTTCTACCCAGCACCCCTTTATTTATGAACTTTAAATGGAAGTAACGGTTTATTTTAAGTAAATCATTTTACCTGAAACAATAATCAGGATTTAGTAAACGCAAACTTACTCAAAACTAGTCAAAGAAATCTGTTTAACGTCATGCAACAATGCTAAGCAGAAAGACTTGATCTAGACAAAAATCTGTTTTTTAAAAAAACAAAAATGTTTTCGTCAATGCATAAGACTAGACAGAAACGTCACCCGAGTATACTTTCTTTATTAAGAGTGTTTACATTTCTAAGTAGATTTAACCTGGGAGGCCACAAGCAAACACCTGGCACAGCTGCATTGTCTGAGCCATTGTTATTTAAGGCGGTATGATAAAATGCTTACATTGCAACTATTTTTGTTATTCAAAAACCCGATTTATCCCGCCCATTGCAAATTGTGCTAGGAAATATCAAAGGCACCCAGGTACTGTGAGGTCAGTCCTGAGTAGCACGTTTTTGGGGGTCTGCGGGTGATTACAAATTTTTGGCTCTGAATTCAGTCAGTACGCGGTAGTCTCAATTGACCGAACGAAAACTAATTTCTTATTGTTTAAGCTATTTTGCATGGACATGAGAAAAGCGCCGAAACGTATACGTATCTACCGTTCATGTTAGGTAAACAAGGTTGCATAGATACCCGTTTGTTCAGTGGTCTAAGAAGCAATGACCCGAATATAAACTGTTAGTAAAACGAAAAAATAAATTTGGTTTTTTAGAGTGAACTACTCATGTTTAGGAAACCTGGAAACGCGACAGTTCTAACATAATTTTACCTAAGCACACATTTAAATGTGACCTCTGTGTGAGCCCTATGGATATTTTTGGTTCTGTTTGCTTTAAGGTGTTTTACGGCTTATGAGATCTAACGACGAAAAGCTTTATAGGAAAGTTGACACAGTCTTATACCAGAGGGTGTCATTTCATTTACTAAAATGGAAATGAAATATTAGATGAAAAATTGTGTGAATTCAGCATATGTTTGTCCCTGAATTACAACCTTAAAAGTTAATGAACGGGAACGATAGAATAAATACGAATTAGTCTGCCACAACAACGACTGTGGGGATTATACCCTATTTTGGAGACTTGTGCTCTTACTTGAGACGTTCGCATGGACGTTCACCAACGTACTTAATTAGTCACGCACAAGCCACTCCTGATTCCTGTCATCTTACATCTGTCTAACGTCTCACATGCAGCCTCGGTTATTTTGCCCGTGTTTACATACTGACACACTTCGCCACACGAAAGACACGACTCCTGTTTCCGAACAAGAAACATTGCCGGCGTCGTCGCATCGCCTTCTCACCACCGCCTCTGAACTATTGGGTTCGGTTGGTGTCAACAGATTTTAAATTGACCTTGTTCGTTGCTGCACATCTTTGCATGAGACACAACGTGAATGAAATCGCTCACGCGTGACAAGACTCGCGTGTACATATTTGGGAGTTCAGATCTGTAATAGTAGTTAGAAAAAATAATTAGGCTTTAAAAATACCTTGAAAAATGATGTGCTAATGTATTAATGGAGCCAAAATAACGCGACAAACCATAAGTCTAAGCATAGATTGTTGCTCGAGGAAGGGAAAAGGGTGTTTGTGCTGAACCTGATTCAAATGGGTAAATGGAATCTAATTTCGCACATGCTGAGGCCCGCGTTCTGTATTTTCCTATTTTCATGCAGGCGTTTGCTTCGGGGTTTTAGGATTTACTGTTTTACGGTGTTCAAAGTATACTAAGCATTTGAAGATGCGAGTACACCCTTCGCATCGCATAAATAAAATGGAAGCGCATCGCGGCAACGGCAGACACCTGAGTGGTGGCATTCGCATGGCCTGTTTTATTGCTCGCCTCATCTCCCCGCCTGTGGCCTCACTTTGCACATGCCTACGGTGGTGGAGCAGGTGCTAGAGAAGGATGCCAGTAGCAACGACGACAAACCGGCGGCAGCAGTGCTGGCTTCAATCGCAGCGCAAACAATAAATTTTCTTAGATCGACAACGTATAGCAAAGATAGTGACACACGGCTGACAAAAACACAGTTGTTTTCGGGAGTGCTCGTAATTGAGTTACTTAGTTCTCGGAAAATCGTTTCATTCACCCATTCAGGATTCAATGTTTATTCACTGGAGCAATTAGTTATGCATGGGCATTCGCTTACAACTTCACACAAGCCAATATTTTTAAAATCGAGGGTAACAACTGCCAAAGCACAGCTTGCGCATTTAGGCGAAGCCCATGGAACAATCGCGATACTGGACTGTACAACATTTAACTCACTGAAAGTGTACCAAAGCCGACCTGGAAATGCACGTGGGTAAGTTAACCTTATTTTAAATACCTACCTTAATCCTCTACATTTTGCTGCATTTAGTTAACACAACGGGATCATAGGAAAGATTACACTTTGTGCGCTGCACAATTTACAACCGGTGAGCAGCCTATTGCATCTCTACCGGGGTCAGGGATCCCCTAATCCGGTAGTACAGTTTTCCCGTACCTACTACGTTGGTAAGGTTAAAGAAAAAAATAATGTAGACGATGTCGTTAAATCAGAATCCCTCCGAGTTTCAGTTGTCGTCTCTCTCTCAATCGTGCGTCATCTCTCTTGTGTGTTCCTGGATAGCTTGTAATTAAAGACCTCTTTGAGACCCTTGAACACGACATTTGATTGTCAAAACGGCCACAAAATGGAATACTCGCTTGGTCGTTGTGTCTACGGCGCAGGTCTCAGCTATCACGTCAAAGGAAAACGAGCTCTTTTGTGGGTAGACAAAGAACACATCAAAAGACTTAATAATACATTGCAGCCATCAAGAAGTTGCAGTGGAAGTGCACGCGGTTCGCACAATGTTTCACCTCCCATTATGCCGCATCCGGATGGCTGCATTGTGGAATGGGATCTGGAGTTAAAAATTTGCAGAATATCCTTTGGAAAAGCATAAGGGTGGTTGTAGGAATGCCCTGCGGAATCGTTGCTCGAATACAGGTCTTTCAAATTATAAAGGGTGACTAGTTGTTCGATATGTGCAAACTTAATATCAGTCCTTTACTACATTTTTGATAGCATTAAGATTTTTCCTTTAGAATGTCATATTAACTAATGTATGCAAATTTTAACATGTTATGTTCGCAAACAAATACATTCCTAATTATGGCTTTATTTTAAAATTAGATGTAAGATGATACTACTTTGGAACCGACACCATAATTTATTACTGATCACATTCAACGCAGGATTATTCCTCACGTGTACACCGTAGTGTTTCCAGACGCTGGAGACCGCGGTGTGCGGTCTCGAACCACATCGGGGCCACCGCGTGGTAATAACTCGAAGACAAGAGATGGAGGAGACAACCTTCTACTAGACGGCTCAATGTACTTTATTCACGTCCTGTGGCTAAAAGGTCATGTCTGACAAATGGGAGTTATTGGTCGATAAACATAGACTAAAATTGTAAAAGTGAAAATGGCTGAGTGGGCGGATGAGTGTAGCGGGTAGCGTCGGGGTTGTTGTTCACACGCACAGGGATGTGTGGACAGACGGTGAGACCGTGAAAAGGGAAGAGTGGCAGGTCTGAATGTGCGGCTGCCGGTTTAACAGAAGTGAATTGACAGGATTCACTACCTAGTAACTGACGTTTGAATTTAAATCAAAAAATATGGCGTTTCATGCTGACAACTTGCAAACGGTGATGGGAAAAGATAGCATTCTACGCCCCAGGATTATTGGTCTTTGATTAATTTCCTATAATCTGCTTCTAAACGGATAGCAGCTGAAGCCAAAGCCTACACGCGACACCAGGGCACGAAAGGCCGGAGACTCAAGCTATAGTTCATGTGTGGCAGATGCGGCCGACTGATTTCACACGTCCCCCCGCTTTTCAAATTGCTCCTTTTTAAAACACTGTCTTTGTCGAGTACCTAGGGACGTAAGCCGTTACAAGACACTGAAGTTGACCTTCTAATGCTTTTAAGACCCGTTTTTGAGTCTACATGCAGAGCACCACCCTCTTGTGTTAATTCTGACACAAACGATATCAGTGAGGTCGACGAGCTTGAATTGAGACATTCAGAAATTACTTTATTGGGAACTACCAAATGTCAGAGGCATTACGGTGGAGGAAAGTAAGTTTTGGGGTTACTTGCACGTCCACGTACGGATTTGAAGTATCCTTGGCCAGAAAGACCCTTTACCGCACAGATTTAGAATGAGCCAGCGTAATACGAAATTGGTCCTGCTGTATATTTGTGGACTACTGTGTTTCATTCAGTTAATCCGAATAGTGAAAGTGGCTATAATTTTAGCAAGATGACTTTAAGGTGATAATAACTGGATGATAAAGGGACCGTAAGCAAACATAATTAAGAAGTCTACTAATCACTTTCGCCTCTTCGTTACCGACGTTGCTCTGGTGAGCAGGAGGGGTGCACGGTCAAAGAAACTGCCCGGTGTGGACGACGACAACGCACATAAAACAGAGCCTTTCAGAGCATCATAACTCGCCAGGGTGGGGAGGTGATGGCGGCCAGTGACCTTGGTCAAATGAATTAGACACCCTGTCATTATTGAGCAGACTGGCTTTGGAAAAAAAACACGCACATAATGAAAGGAAAGTCGGGTAGTCATTTAGATCGCTTATAATAGCACTGAGCGAGGAGTTATAAACTTAAAACAGCTACACGACCTCCCAACTACCTAACATGTGCAGAGTGGAAACTGAAACAACGAGTTAAAGGAGTGCTTAAATATCGAAAATGACTCTGTGGGTTATGTTAGAGATGATTCTCCGGCTGAACCATCATTACAAATAAAAAATGAAAATAGGGGATGAGAAGTGTTAACTGAATTTGCCGAGTCGCCTGAGGAGTTCAACTTGGCGATCGGCCGAGACAGGTCGAAAGTCCGCCAGCCGGAGGCTGAGGTCGGCCATGCCCGAAGAGAGACTTCGAACAGTTGCTGAAAAGTCCTGCAATTCTGCGAGAGGAGCAAAGGCTTGAAGACAACATTCACGCGTACCATTGGCAAGCTGGACCACTTCGACTCCCTCAATCTCCCCACGTCGACGCGACAACTCGCTTATGAAGGGAGTTACCGAGGTGTCCTTGCCTGAGCCTAAAAGGGCATCATGGGCCGCAAATCAGTCCTGCTGCTGGGCATCGAACACCCTGTGTTTAAAGCACAAACACCGTGTAACCAGAGGCACAATCCGCCCCACAGCAACAACCACCCAGAAAGGCCAGTCATGTTTAAAAGCTGTTAAGAGTAGCATAAGGGAGTCGATTATTTGCTTCGCACAGAAGTGGGTGATGACTGGGCTCGGAAAAATTTAACTAACAAAACTGAAATATAAACAGTAAAATGGATCAGTCTCGGGGCAAACCGGTAGTTTTACAAACGAGAGAAGTATTTCAGTGCCTTGTGATAGAAAATCGAGGAAAGTAAAATAAGGAACTTGGGGAGATAATAAGTGGCTTCCAGCAAAAGAGGTGAAAAGATGCCACCTACCGACGTCTATAGGTAATCGAAGTTCCACCGCCATGACTGGTTCCATGACTTTCCAATCTGGAAGACCAACAAGGGCCTCATTAGCGGCTTTCATGACGGCTGACCTGAGAAGCGCCGTAAAGGAGACGAAACTCTGCGAGGATGTGGGAACTTGGATTCGGGTCAGGTCGGCATCCGGGGTGACTGTTGACGAGGTTGGCAGTTGGCCGATGCGACGCACGTGCAAACTCACACCGACAACACGCGAATGCAGCAACGGCCCACCCGTCATTAAGGCGACCTCGCATCCCTGACGCACACACGCCATTATCTTGCTGAGAGTGCCTGCAGACTGGGGGTCACCATAACCGGAGTGCCCAACGCCGACTGAACCTTGGTGGATCCAAGCCTTGTTGAAAGTTACCTGGAAAAAATAACTTTAAAGTGAGTTATGGTTGAAATAGTGACTTTAGGAGGGCGCGAGGGAGCTGATGAAATCCTCCCGATCAAATTTATCCAGACTCGTGGGATCAATCAAAGAGAATCCATAATCAAGGTAACAGCTTTTGACTCAAAAGGAGGAAAACCACTTCGATTAATTTACCGTGGGAGGGTGGAGGCAATTTTGCCCTCGCCCTGGTCCCGAGGGGCAACGCGGCTAATGACCAAGGGAGGCCATTAAGAGACGAGGTGACAAAACACACCCAAGCGATAACTTGCTACAGCGCACACGAGTTTACACGAGTGGATTCGGACTATGTTGAATTCGTGATGAGAATGTAACGATTGAAACGAGCGTCTTCTTGTGCTACCTATTCAAAACGTAAGGTGAAGGAGTATCCAGAATGCACGAGGCACGATGAGTTTTTGACCCGACTGACCACAGACAAACTGCAAATGCTGCACTTCGACTGCAGAAACTGCTAACCTGATTCGGTCTGGTCTGCATTGGGTACCATAATTTATAGGCACTTATTATGATCAAAGGCGTATTTAAAAGCGCCATCTTTAACCAAAAGGAACCGACCATATGGCCATATTTATATGAATTACAAAACCTCCTTTGTCTACGAACGTCTTAGCAATCGGGGCGCCATTTATGCGGACTATTCTCGTCTGATTCTTGTTATAGCTTTCATTTGGTACGAATGAAAGGTAACAAGAGCTAGGTAGTTTATCAGATTAAAGAAAATGAGTTTAAGCCTCAGATATTCTTAGAAGTGGTTTGTGCTAGAGAGAAAAAGCAGAAAATTACAGTCGAACAAGGAGAGGAAAGTCTTTTCAGATTATTCTACGGCAGCATGGACAAGACGACAACCAGCTAATTAACTGTAAAGCACACGTTACACGTAGACGCAGACAGAGGAAGTCGATAAAATTGACCAAGTAATTTGACTGACTTCCTTGACATCTCATGTTCCAGGAAGATGATGTGAACGAGACTTTCTTTCATTCAGCGGCTTTTATTAACCAATGGAAAAGAATAACACACCGTGGGGGATGCATAGACCGACAATGAATGAAGGGTACGTCATGACATGGTTGGTGAGGCAAGGTCGACAGAGAGCAAAGTAGAAGCACGGGTTAGGTGATTTGCTTCGATATATCCAGGAGCCAGGTGGTAAAGTTTGCCAGTATAAAATAGGGATTATTTGTGCAGTGAAACCGAATTAACTCAGTGATGCATGGATAAAAAATTCAAACGCCAGAATTAATAGCAATTGAATGAAACGCGAAGCGTTTAAACGAACCTGGGGTGTTTCCGATGCATGCAGATGGCCACTGGACCGAGCGACAAGTTCTACAAAAATTGTTCGTTGACGACCTCCAACGATACCTACAGCGACAGAACACGCTCAGAACTAAAGAGACGTAAACACCCCTATACAGACCTTTAATACATCAGTCAGCATTATCGCGTGGTTAACGGTGGCAAAGACGTGGACAAACCACTGCGTCATAATACTCTGAGAGGAGATAAGTTGTGCTCTTAGCAGTTTCACCAATTACTTATAAGCAGGTTCACAAATGCCTTCATTGCATTAACTGAAAGCGGCTCAACAGGTCGGTATTTTGTTAGCAATCGGAAAGACGGGATGAACGTCAGTTGAAACCCAAACCTTACGCCGAACCCCCGTATTTTCATCTTTTCAGGTTGAATTAAGGTTTGCAAGTAAGGAGAATTTAGCACTGATACGGAAACAATGGGTCGTGGATTTGGGGGTTGAGATCACCAACAAATCTGTCATGACGACGACAGCGCCACGGGACCGTACCCCGCCACACTAAGCCGATTCCCTTGCTGATTTACTGCAGCACACCACTGAATAATGTTTCAGGTTGCCTCCCTCAGCAACGCTGTTTGTTGAGGACGTCATGCTTTTCGGCACGGGAAGAACCCAAACGCCCAACGCCCCAGCCAACTGGGCTCCCCGACTTCTCCCGTCCGAGCTCAATAAAAAACCTGACTTCGTAAAAACGGAAAATAAAGAGCATTGGTCGGGCAACCATCACCCAACCGAAGCCCAAGTGTCACTCAAACCAAACGTACACACCGGCTTCCGAGTCGGAGAGGCGCCATTATGGCCGTCACTCGTCTGACGTGATAACGATGTGTCAACACCGATGATGGCTTCAAATAAAAACGAATTCTCCGTTATTTCAGCATGGTTGGAATTCATTTTAAGATATAACGCAAAGTTTACTAACTCATACTATCCCAGTGGCAAATATTATGCTAACTAACGTAGCTAGTTGGTGGTGTTGAGGTCGTTAACATAGCAGATTTTTGTTTCAGCATACAAAGAAGCGCCTGGTGGACTTCTATATGACTAACAGGATTTAATTCTAAAAGTTTAACAGAATTCAGTGCCAGAAATAACCATGTGGAAATCAAAATTGAGCCAGTTTAAAGACGCAACGTAAATTTGCTTCATTAACTACATGTTGACTTCTTGCGTTCGATGTGCATACCAGATTTTAATGAGGATTTTCAGTTTGACGGCCGAGCAAATTTTGTTTGCATCGACTGTGCAGCTCGCTCAGCTAAAGTTCTAGGGTAGACGACAACTACACGTCGATAATATAACAACCGGACATTTAGATATTCTAACAACCGACGCCGCATTGGCAAAATAATTCGATTGTCCTTTGTGACAGTTGAGACTGGTTTATACGAGGGGCAGTTCAGGCAACACCTCGAATGCGGGCGCTCAAAGTGAAAATTAAGTTGACAGAAGACAGCCGTAATCCCCTAAAAACAGACGCCCAAATTGGCACTCTGGAGCTGACACTTAAGCACAAGTATCAGTCAAGTAAGAAGGTCGAATCCACAGCCTGTGCTTATTACCGGCCGTTATGCAACGCTGTGAGATTCGAATGCAAACGAACCTTGTGGAATTCGCTATGCGATGCCATTCAACTCCACCAAGGTTCGTCCCAAGAAATGAATTTTCAGTTAAAATGTCAATCTAATGTATTGACAATACGTATAGGTATCAGAGGACACAGTAGGAGACAACATTACGGTAACTGACCAGTCGAAGTAGTCGCACCAACGGATTCATTGCCTCCTTCTGGCATTTCTTTGTGAGATATCAGGAGAGGACCCATGCTGACGTCCAACTTGTACTGACGACGAAGACGTGAGAGTACAATTTCGAGGTGCAGGTCACCCATTCCAGCGATTACCCACTGGCCAGTCTCCGAGTTGAAGCTCGCCTAAACAACGACAGAATCATTTGATCATGTATTGTGTGTGTGTCAAAATACAGTACTCAGCTGCCTGAACCCATAGACAGTGTGCCAGAAGTGAGCGTGTCGTAGCCAAGGGAAGCCCACTCCGACTGAAGATGACAAAATGGGATACAATTATAGCCGTCAGTTTAAGGGTTAACAAAAACTTCGACATTAGCCAATTGTGCGATTTGTACAGACACTGCATAGCATGAATGAAATTAGTACAAACTGGCACTGCTCAAGACTCCACAAATGTGCAACATTCCCGATTGACAAAACGGCAGGAGAACCGAGGAAGGGATCTAAAGCGATGGGTCACATCACGGGTGTGGATTGCATGAAGCAAACGCCACCACAACTCCCACGTGGTTAGCGCAACTTCCCACCACCGCGGTTGCCACGAGTGCGCAACTGCATCGAGGGTGCTGGCTGCGTTGCTGCTGATCACGTCAACCCGCCGATCCCAGAGGCCGTTGACTGCATTGCACAAAAAGTGCGCATGAACGGGCTTCGAGCATCGGTCACTTAGACAAAAGATAAGACAATTTCGAAGATCCAATCATCTTCCGGGAGCACAAATTTGGCTATTTACGATTATTCAGACGCAAGATCAGTCTGATTTCTGTCTCCGAAAGGCCCCAATTGCAAAATTGCATTCCAGTAACTTTGACGATGAGTGGCACAAAAAAGTCACTGCCACGTTTCTTCACGTACACTTTAACCGTGCAATACTTCGAGGTTGCGATGTTTTACTGAGTCTGCGCGCACACAAAAGTACTCAAGTCTGTTTGGCACCGCGTTCAATTCATTTCCGGTGGCCTCAAATGTTCAAATTAGGCCTAGCTATGGCCAACTTTCCACACTATTCCCACCAAATGTCAATAAATGCCCACTACAAATAACTACAGCTGAAAACACTTTATAACTCCTTTTTCACTGACTCAATCATCGGATTCTTCATCACTTACTGCTAAGAACATGGGTGCAAGTAGACGTGACCGGGGACCTATGAAGACATCTACCACCTACGTAAAGAAAAACTAGACACAGCAAAAATAGGACATTCAACGGTGTGGTCTTATGGTTCGCTGAGTGCCACTGTTTTTTTAACTTTTACGCCTCTTTTACGCCTCTCTCGATCTCGATTCTACAGCCAGCAACATCCTCCAAAAACTGCTCCACGAAGAGCACATAACTGAGTGGAAGTTATGGGGACCTGGGAACGAAAGAAAACCTCCTCGTATGAGTTTGGACTTGTCCTGAGATGTAAAATTTGACTAAGGACAAAAGGCTGTATTTGAATTTTTTTGTTTTTAACAAGAAAAGCCACTGCCTAGATTCTGCCACGCTATCGCATGCTAAACAGTAGGAAAGAGCGTAGTTTAGCAGAAGCCATAGTTACCTTGAAACTAGGATCCTCGCGTTGCATACATGCCAAGGCTCGTTCCAGATTTCGGAATGCCGAAGAGCTTCGTGGTTCCAGTGCTGCGTGGATGACTGGCTGAGGCACAAAGGCGCCCTCCATGCCGTCGTCCATTGCCTCTGCCTCTTCGGGTTCGGCGCGACACTCAATAACGGGGCCGAGGATGTCGCCAGTTCGTGTAGATTGCAGACCGCTTAGGGCCACTATGTAGCCGGGGCCCGCCGAGTCCAAGTTCTCGTAAGCGTCGCCAGTCAACTGCATTAAGCCCCCAACCTAATACTTCTTGATTTAGTATTAAACCGGTACTCACATCAGTAAGTAATAAGGTAATGTAACTCACCTTTTCGATACAAGATACTTCGTCGAGGTCCCGGCGTGTCCAGTTTTTTATTTGCATCCCAGGCTTCACTGACCCGGAGAAAACGCGAGTCAGGGAAAGTGGACCACGCTGGGGATCGAAAAGAATCTTGAATGTGAGAAGTACTGGGGGTGCCTGATTCCCTCGAGAGGCATTTTGAATTCGGCGAAGACTGTTGGTGATTAGAGGTGGTGGAAGACGTTGGGATGGGTCAGGAAGGTAATCAACAATACCATCGAGAACTGGCTCGACGCCAATATTTCGACGACTGCTACCCACCAGGACAGGGAAACCACGAGAGGAAATCGTAACCTGAATTTGGACGTTTATTTGGTTGCAATCTAAGACAGGGACTGCTGGTGGTGTTTGATACCAAAATGCTACATTAAAAAGGAAGTTGGAAGAAGGGTGAGCGATGACAGAGAAACAAATCACATGGAGAGTAGGAGCGTTAGCAAAAGATGTAGAGATGTGATAAGGCAGTTAGAGGCGGCGGAAGGACCAGAAGTGGGAGCGCCGCTACGAACTAACATGAACCGCGAAGCACGGATGATAGCAAATGACGTAGCAGCGCTTATATTCCCCCAAATATCCTCACACCGTGGCATGCTTAGAAGTAGAAAAAGATTCCCAGTAAATATAGAGACCAATGAAAAGATTATTTGAATCGTGAGGAGGAAGTCCAGGAGCGCGTATTTGTGTCCACCACGACGTCATGGGGTGAGTTGAAGAGAGAAGTGTCGGAGGAGGGTAGAAAGTGAACTGAGTGTAAAACTGTGGGGTTGGTATGAGTTGCAAAGAGTGCGGAAGGGGCTTAGAAGTAAGAAAGATTGCTGTGAATGAAAGCTAGCAAAACTTAAACTTTGTGCGCAAATTTGAGTTTGGTGGAAACGGACCCACCTTTCGTACACAGTCAGAGACGACGTCTACTGGAAGCAGGCGTTCAGGATTATCGACGAGGAGGTACTCATTCGCGAAGGCATCATCTAAATCAGCCAACGAAGCGAGTAGTTGCTCACGAGCCTTCAGTGCCAGTGGTATTAATGTGGTAAAATCAACGGCACAGTCACCGGACTTCGATGGCCCGTCTGAGGCAAGAACTTTAAAGAGGTCCACCTGAGATGACTGCACACCATCCGGATTGGGCCAAATCTGCAAATAGGGAGAAAGAAGCATTGGGCGATTAAGTCAGTTACACAAACATAAGACGACGACAGCCACTCAAGGTTTCGACATCTACCAACCAACTAGAGGAGTTCAAAGTTGATGTGACTATCTCTGCAGAAAATAGACCTCGCACTAGATTACAACTGCTTATTAAAATATCTTCAATTGCTTACACGACTGACTTAGAAAAGAGGACGCGAATACGTGGATTTTAACATGTCGTACCTTGAGAGTAAAAGAAGGTAAATCAACAATTCCTATGAAACGATCCTTGCCAGTAAACACAGGCATTTGAATGGGAAAGAAAGTTCCACTAAAGCGCTGGCGAAGAGAATCGAGGGAATTGCCGAAATCTGCCATTGGACGGTCCATTTTGTTAATAAAAATCATTCGAGGTAACTGGTAGCGATCTGCTTGTGACCTAAACATGAGAGAAAAATTACTTGCAAAAAATTTGAACTGCTTAGCATGGTTTAACAGGCGTCAATAAGAGATAAATAATAGAACTTTTTTTTAAGGAGGGTGTCGGCACTAAGAACACCTAAGACAATCGCGAACCCTTTTGACAGAAAAAAAGGGCTCGAAACAATTCAAGTGACACCACTACAGTCAATTGACTGGCGTCTTGTCATGTTGGAGGAATTGTCTTTTGTCAACTTACCACACAGTTCGAGTTTGGCTCTCGACTCCTTTACAGGCATCGATAATTATCAATGCGGAATCAACGGCCGCGAGTCCACGCTCTACCTCGAATGTGAAATCGACGTGGCCAGGAGTATCAATGAGATGTACATCGTGGTGTTTCCAGGTCAGGCATGCAGCAGCGCTCATTATGCTTATGCCACGCTCCCTCTCTTCGTCAAGATAATCCGTCACGGTATCTCCTCGGTCAACCTCACCCACGACACGTGTTCGGCCTAAATTACAAATAAGTAAGAACCACCTTGGTAGAATACCAGCATCAAATCTAAGTACCAGCTAACTCGGCACAATCAGTAAACTTTCAGCTAAACCTCTAGATGGCGGAGAAGAGCGAACCTCACCCGCGAAATAGAGCATTCTTTCGGTTGTGGTTGTTTTTCCAGCGTCTATGTGGGCGATTAGGCCAACATTCCGAATTTTGCGGTGGCTTCCCTCAGTTGAGTGGGGTGTATGGTGTTTATACCGTTGAAAACGTAAAGCGCACACTGATTTCGCATAACTAGTGGCGAGTAATGACCGAAGGACCGAAGCCTGAAATGAAAAGTTCGCATCTACTTATCGCAGTAGAAATAACTTTACTGAATATGAAATCAATTTGTCCTTAACCCTTGGCTGCGACGACGACCACCACAGGTGCCTGGCCCAAAACTTTAACGTGCAAATTGTGCAAAACGTCCAAACAGTAAGACAATTACCCGCTCTTTTAATGAGAAGAGGTGTATCAATAAAATATATTTAAAAAGTAAACATACATTACAAAAGATGGAACTAGTAAATTCTGTAATTTGCATAGGCCCTATTTTCTTCACATTGCTTTGAAAGCTCCTTCTTTTTAGCAATAGCCATTCCTTCGTTGTTGGCAGCATTAACAAGTTCACGTGAAAGGGAGATCCAAATTCTCTGATTTTTGTCCTTTTTTCTAGCTGACTCCAAAATCCAACGAATCGCAATGTGCCTAGCGATAACTTCATCACGCGGAGGAGCAGGAACCTGCAAAAGTAAAGCAATGTATCAACCATACAAATAATGTGTTAAATCGAATTATATATGTACCTTATAGATAAAACCTCCACGACGAACGGAGTGGAGAATAAGAAGTGGAGTACAGTTTGAAACAGCTTGATTAATTATCTTAATAGGATTGACTTCAACTGCACTATATTCTTCTCCGGTTAACTTTTTCCGCTTAGACATCTAGAGAAATAGTGCCCATTAGCAACCGAACCTGCAGAAACTTGATCTCAGTAAAGGTTTTGCGCATTATTTCACGAGCCGTTTCTCTTTCACCATCGTATAACATCATTCCAGTCATCTTCATTACGACAGGGTCCCAATTGTTACCAGAATGCTGCCACTTTGGAATTGGTTCGACTGTCTTATAAAGTAAAGGATCGTTGACATCGATCTTTGCGTCAAACGGTAACACTTTAGGTGGAAGAGCATAGTGATATTTTTTGCTGCGATGTGGCTGCTTAAAGATAAACAGGGACGATACTTGGGTGACAACTAAAGGAACCCTATACACGCCTAGGCTTATCATCTCATCAAAACCTCCGCGCGACCTTGATATAACATAAAACAACGATATCAAAGGTAGTCAAAAATTAAAAAAAACAACTTTTTATTATATTAATTTACCCACACAAAAACCTCACGCTAACATTTTGACTATATGCTAATCATATAAATAGCTAATCTAGGACAACATGAAAATATAAACCTTCAGGATACAAGCACATTTAGGAGAAATCTGGGAGTTATGCGCATTGCGTCTAATCCCTCAATTTTAAAAGCAGTACTTCAAACAATCTAAATAAAATAAAAATGCTATTAATTGCATTTGCCTAGCTACGAGTTTAACACGGTCTTTGGAAATTGGCGTGCTTGGATGCTAAAACACCGCTTAGAATCCCACCCAC